TCTGAGATTCTATTTTCTGTATGATCTAGTCTGCTTTTAATACTTTCAAGGGAGATTTTGACTTCCTGTTTTATAGCCTTCATCTCTAACAGTTCCATTTGATTCTTTTGTAAAGTGTGAAATTCCTCTTTTAGATCTTGCATGAATTTCCTCACCTCCTGGAACTCGACAACTCCTGTCTCCTTCCTCTTCTGCAGTTCATTGTCTCTCTTTTCCATCTCTGTTAGCTTTGCCCTTATGAATTTTCTAAATTCTTTATCAGACATTTCCATGTTTTCCATAGAACTGTGTATGGATAAAGAGGAGTTATCCTTTTCCCTTGGAGGAGAGGTATTTTCCTGCTTTCCCATATTTCTTGTGGTCCTGCAGCAATTTCTAGTCATCTGGTGGATGGTTGGTTTCTTCCCAAACTTGGAAGTTCAATCACATGAGTTTTGGGTGTTGGAGGCAGAATTATCACTGGGAAATCTTCATTTCTCTGTTTCTCCCAAAATGGCTTGTTCTCAGGAGCCATGAAGGTCACAAAGACACTGTCTTGTATGGCCTGCCTTGCGGTCTAGTGGTTGAGCAGCCAGATCCCACATGCCTGATTACATGGTTTGAATCCAGGTTCCTATGCCAGGAGTGTGTGTGAGCATGCTCCAAATTCTGAAAGGATGGAGAAATGAAGAAGGGATTGCAGCATGTCTATGCTCCATTGGGAATTGCTTTCTTTCTCCCTCCTCTCTGCCTCTGTCACTCACTGGTGAATGCATGCATCCTTTGGCAGAAAATAAAAAGATGGCCAGCAGGTGGAATGGTGGTTAAGGTGCTGGAGCCCACATGGCTGATTCTGTGGTTCAAATCCTGGACCTGGTGTCTTGAAAAACATGCTGGATGCTTGCACATGCATATCAAATGTCCTAAGAAGAGAATTGGTTATGATATGGCTATTCAGAAAAGGATTGGTTTTGGTATGGGTATTCCTTCGGGGGGGGGGTGATTACTCATTTTCCCTTTCTCCATCTTTCTCTGGGGACCGCATATGCCCTATGGCAAAAAATCTAAAACACAAACAAAAAAATGACACTGTCTTTTATCTGTAAGATTTTTAAATGCTCAAAAGATAAATAAGACCCACTATTGATGAGTGTATTGGAACCTGAGTATTCTCTTAACTTTTTTTAAAAAATTTATTTCTTGAGAGAGAGGAGAGGGACAGAAAGACACACACACATATATACATGCATACAAAGGTACCCTCTACCAGCCAGCCAGCAACATAGGTGCATCCAACCAGTTTAGATGAACCCAGGAATTGAACCTGGGGTCTCTCATATGACTCTAATACCTGGTGACCCACTGCCTGTGCCATTGCTATTGGGCCATTAGTATTCTCAAATATGGTTGACCAACAAGTAATTTGGCAGTATCTATTTCCCTTCTATTTTAACCAACAGTTGTATTGATAGGATTCTATTCTCCTCCTATTTTAAGCAACAGTTGTATTTATAGGATTCTATTCTACTAAAATATTTACATGGGCATAACAATGTCCAATGCAGTATTGTATTAGCAGAATATAGAACTACATGGGAGTCCAGCGACATAACCATTATGCTAATTGCTGGTCCCTCCCTGTTCCACATTTACATTCTGATTGTCATGCCTTGCATTGACAGTTTTCAAGAGGAGAGAGAGAGAGAGAGAGAGAGAGAGAGAGAGAGAGAGAAAAGAAAGAAAGAGAGAGAGAGAGAAAGATAGAGAAAGAGAAAGAAAGAAAGAAAAGAGAAAGAAAGAAAGAGAGAGAGAGAGAGAGAGAGAGAGAGAGAAAGAAAGAAAAGAAAGAAAGAAAGAAAGAAAGAAAGAAAGAAAGAAAGAAAGAAAGAAGAGAGGATAACCCTTGTGTACCACAGCCATTGCTGTTAAAGCATAGGAATAACAGAGTTTAGTTGCGGAAATTAATAAGACATGTCCTCAGACTCTACTTCATTAAGTATCAAAAGGAGGCAGCACGTGGCCAGCAGGTGGCATGGGGGTTAAATAGATGGATTCCCATATGGCCAATCACAGTTCAAGTCCTGGGCTCAGTGGCTTGAAAATCATAGTGGTATGTATGTGTGTGTACCCAAAACCCTGAGAGGAAAATGGAGAAGGGCTTGTGGTGTGGCCATACCCCCTGGAGGGGATTATTTCTCGGTTTCCCTCTCTAGTAAGTGTATGCACATGCCCTATGGCAAAAACCTAAAAACAAACAAAGGAGGCAGCAGAACTGGATGACAGCACACCTAGCGAGTACTCTGAAATGCTATCAACTATGAATATAAAATGTACTTTAGTCAGAAAGGAGATTCAGCTTTTCCTCTCAAGTTGGGTACAGTGATGATGCAGGGGGACTGATTCAAACTTAGAAACAGCCAACAGCTAATGGAGGGAGCCGGTGGTGTGTACAGAGCTGTGCCAGGAGAGGAGAAAGTCTTCTGTGGCTGGTTCTGATCCTTACCTTAGAGCCAATACAGCAGGATACCTGTCCCCATGAGGGTACCCATGCCTCTGTGCACCTGGGACTTTCATTTCTCTCTTTCTCTCTCCTCCAATAGCACTCAGATTATCTGTCTCCTCTCACACAGCCCTGACAGTGCCTGGAGCTTGAGCCAGTCTTGCTCTCTCCTAGCTGTCAGCTGAAAGGAGAAACATAAGCCACTGCAGGCCCAGCTCTTCTAGGACCTGTTGTCCTGTGAGCCACCTCCCTCAGACCTGAGGGTCTGGGTCTGGATTCTGCACTGAGGTTCTCCCCTAGCTTGCCTCAGAGGAGCTTTCTTGTTGCCAGGGAGGTGGGACCAAGGGACAAATGAATGTCAGCTGGGGCCATCCTTGCAGGACCAGATCTCTTCCTGTGACCCAAGGAACTCACCTCCTCTGGAGACCTCAGACTGTGTCTTTGTAGACTAACTGTGGATGCCCAGGTGGAGATAAGCTGGACCATGAGGCTAGTCAGGAGTGGTCTCAGTGTTGTATTCTGACCCTGGGAACACAAGGACCACGAGAGAATCAATGAACAAACCCTGTGTTGCCCTCCACAGTGCCAAGGTGAGTAAAGCCCAAAGGTTCCTCTCATCACAAGGAGGACAGGACCTCATTCTTATTTAAGAGTTAACATGGATGAATAGCACAGTTATCCTTTATGAGCTAGACACTGCCTTACTGAGAGAGGAGCTCCAGAACCAACTGACTGCTTGTTGTGCCGTTATTATTCACTTAAGAAATGTCAAGGTTGGGACCAGCAGTTAGCGTAATGGCTATGTCGCTGGACTCCCACGTAGTCGACCACAGTTTGAGTCCTGGATCCGGTGGCTTAAACTCAGGAGAATGGAGGAGAAGGGATTGTGGCATGGCCACTCCCCCGGGGAGTGATTTCTCATTTTCTGTCTCTCTGTCTCTCTCTGTCTGTCTGGCGTGTGTGGGTGCCCTATAGCAAAAACCTCTCCAAAAAAATAAATGTCAAGGTTCTCTGTGTTCCTGTTTCAACATGTCTGAGAGACATCAGTGCACAAAATCTCAAGTCCCTGCTCCTGCGGAGCTTATGTTCTAGCAGGAGGACAGACAGAATGGAAACTATGGGAAACAAGATAAAAAAAAAAGCATAGGATAGGTTAGCAAGGACTAAGTGCTAGGGAAAAAAAGAGCAAGGGTAGGTTAGCAAGGGCTAAGTGCTAGGGAAAAAAAAAGAGCAAGGATCCCTCAGTGAAGTACTGTTGTACCCTGGTTGCGAAATTCTCAAAAGACCACAAGGAGCTGATTCTGATGTAAACACACAAAGGTCACTTTTATTTGGCTTGAGCCAAGGCTCTTAGCTGTCACCAACACAATGGATCAGACTTGAGAGCCCTGGTGTTAGTTGGGCTGGGTTATTTATGGCTATTGATGGGGGAGGTCGAGAGGTGCTGAGGAATGCATTCAGGCGGCTATACATTAGCCGCCCACAGAGGCGTCAACCCAGGACCCTATCAGCCTGTCACCATATTTCCTCCCCCTTACTTCACCGCCAAGACCAGCTACCCCCGGGGGCAAAAGAGAGCCACGGTAAACTCCTGCCGCTTTTCTGACTCAGCCGAGCATTTCCGCTTCTCCACACCCCTGGGAACGTGGGGGTGGGGATGGGGGTGGAGTATGTTTGTGCGTGGGGGTGTGTATGTGAGGTGGAAGAACACAGCGCAGTGCACGCACAGTAGTACGGGGGGAAGGGGGCGGTTACTGTGCACCGCCATTGGCCAACATGGCTCTCAGGTGCTGATTTTGAGTGCGCTGTGAGGCTTGTGGGATCAAAAGCTGGGAAGAAGGCCGGGGAGGCATTGGGGCAAGGGGAGGTGAGTGGTTCTGTGTCGACCTAGCGGACCGGTTACCACAGTCCCGGGTCGTTGTCCCCACTACATTCTGGGTTGTCATACTCTGCAACCTGAGTCGACGTGTCTCTCTTCCCCCACAGCCAGGATTTCTGCCTCCCTGGGCTTCTGGGTGATGAGGATAGAGAGCCGGCGTCTAGGGGCCCTGGGCAGGTGCTGAGCGTCCTGAGCAGAAGCTTTCTCGGTGTCAGGAAGTGTTGTAGAGAAGGGGCTTTGCAGCTGTGCTGCTGGGCCAGAAACCTCCTGCAAGGAGGGGCAGACACACTCAGTCTCATTCTCCTGTGGTTCATGGAGGAGCTCTAGTTCCTGGGACCATAGATGCCCAGGGAAAAGCTGTATTTTGCCTTTTTGACAAACGCACTGTAAATTAGCAGAGAGCTGTTCTGAGAAAGCCAGCCTGTGGCAACGTGGCCTTCTAAGAAGACTTGTTGTAGCCATGAGGAAAGTTTCTGTTTCCTGTTAAGGTCTGGGAGAAGGAGAATATGTGTCTGTGTCTGTTGTTTTCGTTTTGTTTTGTTTTTAATTTGCCTGATGGCTGGTGTGCTTGCCAGAGAAAGAAAGTGAGAAAGCATCCCCCATGGGGAATGGTCATACTGCAGTTTCTTCTCCATTTCTCCCACCTTTTGGGAATTCGGGCACGCACACACATTCCTCGTATATTTCTTCAAACTGCTGGATTTGGAACTCGAAACACAGGGTCAGTCATGTGGGATCAAGCCTCCTCAATGACTACCAGGACCTGGCCACAAAAAATGTGTTCTTTATGCCTTCTACTCCTGTCTGGTCACCAAGCAGACCTTCTCTGGTCAGGCATGACAGAGTCTTAGTCCAAGTACACAGAGAATCCTTCTGTGCTGGCTCCAGCTGATGAAGGACAGCCCAGCATTTGCTATTCATGACACTGATATTCAGAATTCAAGAAATACATGAATTATTATTTATTTATTTATTTATATTTATATTTTATCACCTATCTTTACAGTGTACATTTATTTTTCCAACACAAAAACTATGCATGTCAGTCAAGACAAGAATATTACTATATACACCATCATCAGCAAATAGCTTATTTTTTGTCAGTTAAGCATATTTTTACTCGTTTTTTCCTTCCCCTTTTCCCTCCCTCCCTTCCACACTAAACTGTTTCCTCACACACACACATATTTTATTGATTCACAAATGATCTTAAATCTAGACAAAGCTAGAATCTAGTGACAAGTGCACTGTAATTTTCTTCTGAAACATTTTTTTTCCTCTCTCTCCATTACCCCTTTTACTAAAGAGAGGTATGAACTAAGTTATTTGCAAAAAAAAAAAAAAAATTAGGTTAATCTCAATTTGGTCTGTTACTTGCTCAAAACCCCATAAGAATTTAATTTCTGATGCAAGGCAACAGATACTATTGTATTATTGAACTTATGCAAATAACCATTCTGTCACAAAATAAGAATGATCACAAATATTTTCCAATTGCAGAGAGATCAGGGAGGGAGAAAAGTTTGTTTCAATTAAAAACCATTCTTTAGCAAATTGCTGAACCCAACAACTCAAAAGAAAACAAAAATCCTTAAATCTGGAAGACAAAGCATAGAAGAAAATCAGTAATGTTTGTTTTAGAAAAAAGTCATACAATTCTATTTCACCAGTTCAGTCTCGTGTAATCTCTTTTGTGTTTCTGTGGTCTGACTTTACCATTAACAGTCAACATTATTGATATTTCAGAACTTGGCCCTACCATTAAGTTGGCATATCTTTTTTTTTTTTTTAGAGTTTTTTGCTATAGGGCGCATGTGCTCGCCAGACAGACAGAGAGAGAAACAGAGAGACAGAAAACGAGAAATCATCCCCCAGGGGGGATGGCCACACCGCAATCCCTTCTCCTCCATTCTCTTCTTGGGATCTTGGGCACGTATGCACACGCACCCGGCGTGAGTTTAAGCCACCGGGTCCGGGATGCGAACTGCGGTTGACTACATGGGAGTCTAGCGACATAGCCATTAGACTAACTGCTGGTCTTAAGTTGGCATTTCTCTTGGTCATTTTTTGTTCTAATTGTCTTTAGTTTTCCTGGTATAGTACTCTCTTTAGAAGTTCACGAAGAGCTGGTCTGGTGTTGGTAAATTATTTCAGGTTTTGTTTATCTGCGAATGTTTTTATCTTTTCTTCCCAGATGAAGGGTAGTCTTGCTGAATATGGTATTTTTGGTTGAAATTGTTTTTCATTTAACACTTGGAATACATTTTCCCATTCTTTCCTTGCTTGTATTGTTTCCTATGAGAGATCTGACGTTAGCCTGATGGGATATGCTTTGAAAGTAACTTGGCATTTTTCTCTTGCCAGTTTCAGTATCTTATCTCTGTCTGTAGTTTTTGTCAATCTTGCTATGATGTGCCTTGGAGATCTTCTTGGATTGATTCTATGTGGGGTCCTTTGTATATCTTGGGTCTGGATATTTGAATCCTCTCTAGGTTTGGAAAGTTTTCTTCCAGGATTTCATGGAATAGATTATCAATGCTCTGATTAGTCTCTTTACCTTTTGGGATGCCGATTATCTAGATGTTTGGGTGTCTAATGGTTATCTAGTATCACTTGTATATTATTTTCATTTTGGGGGTTATTTTCTCAGTCTTTTTGGTGAATTTTTCTACGTCAGAAGTTCTATCTTCTACACCTAAGATTGGACCTTCTGCATGATCTAATCTGCTTTTAATACTTTCAAGGGAGGTTTTGATTTTCTGTATTAAAGCCTTCATCTTTAAGAGTTCCATTTGATTATTTTTTTATGGTGTGTATTTCCTTTTTCAGAACGTGGAAGAACTTTCTCTCTTCCTGGAACTTGTCTCTTTTCTCCTGCATCTTCTAGACTTCATTGTCTCTCTTCTCTTGCATCTCTGTTAGCTTTGTCACTATGAATATCCTAAAATCTTTATCTGTCATTTCCAGGAGTTCCATTGTACTGTCTGCAGATGATGAAGGGCTGTGCTTTCCCCTTGAAGGAAAGATATTTTCTTGATTTCACATATTTCTTGTGCCTCTATGGTGGTGGTTTCTGGTCATCTGATGGATTAATTATACATTCCTTCCTATCTTCTTGGAGTTAATTCTGAGTGTTAAAGGTGTGTGGAAGGAGATGGCCTGCAATTTTTCTTCAGTACCGTTTCCCTTATTGTCATCAAGCAACCTGCGCTTTTGTCAGTGGAACTGGATATTACAAAGATCTCACAGTTTCAAGGCAATAGGGGCACATGGGCTGAGCTGTGGGATTTAAAGTATTCAGACGTTTTGCTACTGTGTACTTAGACCTGCCTAGATACTCAATGTGTGGAAGGTGAGAAGCAAGGCGAGAAAGTCAGGTAAAAGAAAGGAAACAAAGGGAAAAAGACAAAAGCAACAACAAACAAACAAAACACCAACAACATAAAAAAACCCAAAACAATGAAAAGGGAAAAATTTTTTATTTAAAAAAAAGGCAGAAAAATTAGAAAAGGAGAGAGTGTAACAGAGACAGAAAGAATACAGAGACCACCCTACTTGCCTTTTTGCTGGATGTTGGGCCAGAAGGAGAGGTTTGGGGCAGAGGGTTTTTTTTTGGTTAAAGGGGCAGGGATGGGCCCACTTCAGAAGCACATGGATTCTGAAGTTATCAAGGGAAAGGAGAGGTCAGAAGCAAGAGACAGTACCAACAGATTTTTTTTAAACACACACACACACACTCATATATATATATATATGAGAGAAAAATTTCAAGAGAAAGGGAGAGGGAGGGAGGGAGGGAGAGAGAGAGAGAGAAAGGAGACCACCCTACCTGACTTTTCATTGGGTGTTGGGCTGGAAGGAAGTGTTTGGGGCAAAGGCTTTTTCCAGTTAAAGGGGCAGGGGAAGCCCAACTCAGATGCACATAAATTCTGGCTTTCTGCTGGGTGTTGTGCCCTACATAAGTTATTTTTAAAACCAAGATTCTAGTGATGCATTAGAATAAAATGCTGAGATCTACCACTATAGTCCATTAGGCCTCAATCTTCTCTTCTCTGCCATAGCCAGGGACCACTTGTCCTAGATAGCTTCCACTGTTGTTCAAAGGAGCATCTCTAGAGTTTCTAGCCCATGGCAGGCACTTGGGAAATGGTGCTAGTTTCTGTTGTCCCCTCCCACACCCTATGGAATATGCTGATGCTGTTACTGGACCTTTTCAAAATATGGGCTTCCCTTTTGCTATCTCTTTGTCCAATTTTGTCTGTGCCCACCTTTTCCAGAGGGCGTGCATGCTTGCCAGAGAGACATGGAGAGATAAAGAGATAGGGAGGAAGCCCCTCCCCCCAATGGGGCATGGTTTGCCACGATCTTTTCTCCATTTTTCCATCCTGTCATGATTTGGGCATATATGCATGCATACCTGGCATATTTTCCAAGTCATCAGGGTCAGAACTAGAACTGTAGTTGGCCATGTGTGATCCAGTTTTCTTCACCTCAAGAATACAGGGCTGGTCCCAGCTGAAGACATTTTTTAATGTATAAGTTAGGCTTACTGAGTTGAAAGTTATCTATTTTATTCCTGATGCTATGTTATCAG